CACAGAATCATAGAATCATAGAAAGCTTGCAGTTGGAAGGGATATTAAAGATCATCTTGTTCCAAGATCTCTGCATGGGCAGTAACACCACTAGACCAGGCTGGTCAAAGGTGCATCATCCAGCCTGGCTCTGAAGACTTCCAGGGATGGGGCATTCACCACTTCTCTGAGCAACTTGTTACACTCACCACTCTTGTAGTAAAGAATTTCTTTGCAATGTCTAATCTAAACGTAATGCATTTCAGCTCAGAGTCTTTCACCCTTGTCTTATATGCCCTGGTAAAAAGTCCCTCTCCAGCTCTCTTGTAGGCTTCCTTTAGGTACTGGAATTATGTTATAAGGTCTCCCTGGAGTTTTCTCTTTACCAGTCTGAACAACCCCAGCTCTCCCAGCCTCCCTTCATAGAAGAAGCGCTCTGGCCCTCTGATCATCTCTGTGGCCTTTTGCACCTGCTCCAGCAGTTTCACATCCTTATGCTGGAGAATCCAGAGCTGCATGCATCACTCCAGGAGAGCAGGATAGAAGGAGAGAATCACTTCCCTTGCCTTGCTGGTCACGTTTATTTTGATATAGCCCAAGATACAGTTGACTTTCTGGGCTGCAAGAACACACTGCAGAGTTGTGTTGAGCTTCTCATCCACCAGTCCTTTTATTTTCATGCATGATGTACAAAATGTGAATTACATGTTCTAAAGCACTAGTAAATAAATGTATGTACTAGTACATATATCACTATCAGAGGATATCAAAATGTCTCAGCCCACTTCCTCGGCCCCGTTCCTCTTCATACAGTTCTCACAGAGAAGAAGCCCAGACACGCAGACAAGGGAATGCTGATGGTTGCTGCAAGGGAAAATGGGCCAACAGTCAGTGCCATGCACCCACTATTTAGGTGAAATGAAGACATAATGATCCCTGTGCTTTTTTTCCTTCACTTAAAGCTTGAGCTATCTCTGTTTCTTGCTGAAATAACTCCAATGAGGCTCACCTTTCATGAAAACATTATTTATGGGATAAAGAATCTCGATGTTGTCAGTGAAATCGCTGCAGATTTAGTTTGATGTAAGTGGGACCAGAAATTGGGGTATGACAATTTGAAAACATTTTGAGGATGTTATTTTCCCCAGAAATCTTTTATCAGTGTCACTTGGTGTGTTATTTATTCACTACACATTACACTGCAGTTTCCTGACCAGACTGTGACATTTTGCAGCATCCTTTTAGCATTATTGTCAAAATTGTCTAAACTAAAATAAAAGCTTTAAAATAATTGATTTTGCTAGTTTGCTTTAGTCCTATATTTGCCTCTGGAATATTTCCAGAATCTATAACAGACTGAAGTAAGTTGAAATTACCTTCTCTAAATTTCAAAAGAAATGGATAAAAAAAGGGAAAAAAATCTTTTGGAGAAAAGCTTAGCAAGTCAATTAAAAAGTACAGTCTAAAGAAGTGGTTACATGGTCTAGGGAAAGGAAATCACTAGCAGAGGCTTATGGAAGACATTAACTTCAAGGTCAGAATTGTCACTAATGACAACAAAGAGAATTTTTTAAAAAATGTTCCTTCCTCCTAATGAAAAAGAAAGGAGAATTTTAGTACTTTCTGCTTTGAATTGCTTTAAAAAATACCCCAGCCAAACAAAATACATTGCTGTGTCCCCCACTGGCATGAATTTTTTGCTTAATTGTGTTGCCAAGTCAATTAAAAATGTCCCTTATAATGGATGGGGAAAGCAACACAATAAACTCTTAGTATGACTTTTCTAAAGTAAAACCTTCAGAGACTTTATGTGCAAGTGATCCTTATTAAGGCTTGATTCTGTCTGAAATAAGAACTAATACTAGACATTATGCATTTACACAGTAAGCCCTAAATACAATATATTCTCTTTCTATGTTTTAAATTAGTAATTTAATCAACCTCAGAACAGTTCTGTGGCATTGAATTCAACTTGAAGAGTAGAGTGCATGTTCATTACATAAAATTACCTTAGCTTTCCAAAACGGATGGCCACATCCAAATTGTCTATTGGAAAAGATCCGTAATTATACTAAATTTTGAGTCATGGATCTGTTTGCATTTTTGAAACTTCTATAACTATCTTGCTAAGGAAAACTTTAATGTCTCAGGATTTGAGACAGCTACCCTCTTCAGTGACTTTTTGGTATGTATCAGGTTGCAGGATAAACGGGCGCTGTCTGCAGGAACCCAGTTTGATGGAAAGCCACCTATATCCATCTAATTAAAAACCTCAGAAGGTTCTCCAAGATAGGTGCTCCAGCATGATTTCCAGCATGATCCTGGAAAGCTGGTGCTGACTGTAATTTCTCCTGAACTTTTCCTTTAAGGCATGTCTGGAGCTGCCTTTCTCCATCTGAATGGTAGTTTAACAGGTAAAGTTTTCAGTGTGTAACGACGAACTAGGTATCCCTTTCCTCAGGCTCTCCCTTAACATGTGGCTGTAATACAGACTCCTAACAGAGCTACTTGGGGACTTTCATAACAGATTCCCTGACATTTGGCCCTTAAATAACTGTCTGTAAACACTGTGCTCATTTTATTCCATTGGCTTCAACAGTTAATTCCATTGGGATTTACTGTAGTATAAATTCTACAAAACTAAAAAAAAAGGTAACTTGTGCAACCATTGAAAAGTATTGCCTTGATAAATCGAAGTCATAAACAGGATTTGAATATGATTTTAAATTATGATTCACAGCCCTAAGACTCTAATTCTATATGTTCTAAGCACGTGATGTTGAGAATAATGCTATTAATAGATATATCGGAATATTTCAAAGCCAGAAAAACTAATTCAACATACTAAAAAAATACATATATGCAAATGATTGAATCACTTTTATAAAAGGACTAACAAAAAACACATGACATTTCTTTGTTATGAATTACCTGTAAGTATTCCATAATTGCAAGCAATATGAAAATATGCTGCTTCCTACTTAGTCACTTACAGCTTGTTTCCTTTGCCATTCTCTTTGTGAAAATGGCCATATAGACCACATAGTGCCTTTTGTCCTACACGTTTCTCACACTGGATATGTTTCTCATATTGGAGAGACATATTTCATTAGATTCTAGTCTCACATTGTTTTTAGCACACACATTTTTAGCTACTTACCCAAAATTTATAAAAATAAGTTTCTTCTACATCATATGCATCAATATTAATAGTAAATACATGCAGAGTTTAGATTTTTGCAAGTAAGCTGTAAAATATATTAGTATCTTTTAAATGTTACTTCTTTGTTCTCCAGATCAGAAAGACTTGGGAGTTGAGGGGGAATATCTATGTTTGTTGGTATTTGACTCAGAATGAAATTTCCAGCTAACGTGGTGGGAGACATGTTCTCAAACATGGGAACAGAATGTAACAGATGTAGTGGCATCTGCTTGCACTTTTGGAATCTTAACTAAAAATGTTCTGAGGAACAATTTTCCTCATCCTTCTCACTGAGCATCAACTTAGCTTCCCATTGATAATGTTTTAAATGTCAACATCCTTCTATCACTGCTTATCAGAGACAGAAGAGGAATGACTACAATATACCATCAAATTCCTCTAAACTTCAGGCTGGAAAAAGCTTTAAAATACTTACCAATGATATTCTGCCTTTGCAAGCTGAGGCTGAGCAAAGGACACATGAAGGTCAGAAGGAAGACTGGGTTCAGGAACCTCAATGTTAATTTGGATGGTGGGGTACATATTAATGAGATCATGCATATGTTATCATTCATCTGATCACATGACAGCACTGGGTCTGGATAATTTTTTTTATGAAAGGAGTTTTTTTATTTTATAAATAGCAAATGCTCTTAATTACTAACATAGTTACTTCTCACATAAGGACAAATTCCCTCAAGCAGATCTGGAGAAGAAAATACTTTGCAACTATTTTTATGTATGGAAGAAAAAAATATCAAAGTTGGAGGTTTTTTGTTTGGTTTGGTTGGTTCATTTACTTTTTTTTTTTTTTTTTTATTTTTGGGGGTTTTTTTTTTTTTTTTTTTTTTTNTTTTTTTTTTTTTTTTTTAATTTTGGGGGTATTTTCTACTTACTGAGAATCGCTCAGTAGAGAGAATCTGTCAGTTATCCAAAATGCAGCAATTTCATTGGGTTGACTCTCATAACTAGCAAATTTATTAGCTCTTCTTTTCAACTGCCAAATCTGGAAATATTTGTCTCCTTAGCTTTTTGTTAAAGAAATCTGTAGTTACCTCTTTCCTGCATTTGGAACAGAAGGTAGGCAGATGCAGCTTCATGCATCCATCGTATGGTTCAAAAATGCAGCTCACAACATTGTGAATGCTGCATATTAACATTTTAGTATGTTTAATGATTATCACCTAAAAATCTGAATTAAGGAACACTTCATAAACAGTCTTAAATTTAGTTTTAATTCAGGACTGCATGAAGAATAAAGTAGTGGAGAGCTAGGCTATCAGGTTATGTACAACAGATTAACCTCTGTTTTTTATTTTGTCTATGACAGAGCATTAAATGCTTGAGTCGAAAAAAGATATGAGATTTAGTTCTTTGCTCTTCATGTTGGAAATAAAGTCTTTGGTTTCTCCTAAATTTTGCTATTGAAGTCTAGGTCTCTTAGGAAACTCAACTTATATTTGGAACTGTAAAAACTTTTGACATAAATACAGTAGCAGAAATAACTACTCAGTGCTCTCAAAATAGGTTTGACTATTTAAGTAAACTGCAGTGAAACTAAGTTGTTTGGAAATCATTTGGAATGTAGCTTGTCCAGTTCTTCAGCTGGTATAATTATAGACAGTTAGGCTTAAGTTAAACACCATTTGAAGAAAAGAAGAAAAAAGATGCTTGATAGAAGACACCTAAAGATTAGAGTAGTCACACTTAGGCCCTGAACCAGCATTCTTCCTCTGCCTCTCTCATCAGCTCAATGCAATTTTGACTTGCCTTCTCTTTTCAGGCAGGAAGTATCATGGAAAACCTAAAATACAGATATGACTGCCAACCAGGAAACTTTGGAATTTGTGACACTGGAAAGAGTGAGAGACCACACGTGGGGTTGGAGAGATGAAAGAATCAGGTGAGATTTAGAGTCTGGCAACACGTAAAGCACAGATAGTCACAGTCTCTCAGCTATGATCCTGCTAAAGCACATTGATTCCTTGTCACTCCTTATCATTTTAGAGGGCAACATTCTATTAGTCTTACACCATTACATTTACTCTTTCTCTTTTTCTTAGCTGTAGCCTAATGGACATTACTGTAATATCCTAAGAATACTCATCAGATATGACTCACTGCATGGCTCTTTGGAGAACATGGGCCCCAACAGTCTTCTCGCTGGTGAAGCACTGAGGCACTTCCCACACACCTGCCTGTCTGACCTTTGTCCACAATGGCCTTCTGATGGATGTGTCTAGGGACACACAGACCTGCAGAGAAATCCAGGAAGGGACTGAAGAGATGAGGGTGGTGCATTAAGTAGGCCCTTTTGTTGATATAGTGGCCTGCTTTTAGGCAACCCTGAAAATAGAAAATGGTTGTAAGGTCAAGTAAAATAGATTGTAGCCATGCCAGCTGTCAGACAGTCTTCCAAGAAGTCTGTTATTTAACCCTGATATTGAATATATCAGGGGCTAAAACTGATTAAAAAGCATATAAAATGCCATGGGCAATTTAATGGGGAATAAATATGTAACAGTGACTTTCTCCTTTATTTTTTGTAGCTTGCTCCTTAATCACTCCAGTGACAAGAAACATGTTTCATCCTGCCCTTCAAATGCTTTGCTCTACCAGACACCATCTGCATGAATATGATATTCCCAAAGAAATCTACTTACTGAGTGGGGTGAGGCAAGGAAACAGGAATATTAACAGAGACGTGAGTGTTCAGCCAGCACATCAACATTGATGGCTCCAGGAAAAATGATGGCAGAAAGGCATAGAAAAGGATTTGCTTCCTTTACTAAAGGCAGTGTTGCATGTAAAAGAACAAAATATGCACAGTATATATACTGCAGTATTTTCACCTGGATAAAATATGACAAATTCTTACAAACTACCAATAAAGCATAGGCTCTAAAATGGTCAATTTATGTGGTTTCTAGAATGTAATATTGAGTCAGTGCTGTAGAATGGATATTTTGGCATTTGGGAGAGATAATGACTAATTTTTTTTTTTTTTGAGTGATATTTCTAGAAAAAAAAATGATGCATAAAAAGTTCTAAATTATGACCTTTTTTGACTAGATTTAAGAGAACTAACAAGAAACCTTTTCTCATCTTTTTTTCTCTTTTTTGACACCCAGGTTTGTTGTGCTGCAAAGAAATGTTGTGGTACATTGCACCTGTTATATATCTACCCTAACAAGGGATGAGGAGAGAAGGAACATTCATGACTTTGCAATAATGAGATTGCTGATCCACAACCTGCTGGCAATTTCTGTACAGAGGAAATAAAGTCAAATAGAACTGCCAAGGACCTCATCTCCATGCTGATAACTGCACAACGCCTCAGACACATCCATCCTCAGGTTACTCTTTCTGTTATTAAAACTTGTATTTTTATGGCTAAAGTTGTGGTGAGTGGTCTTGTCCTCTGAGCAGTGAACTATCTGTAGACTCCACATCTCCATTTATTTTGTCAGATTTTATGCACTGGCAATTTTTTTACTGATAAGACTCAGTCAAATATGAAATTCAAACTGATAAGTACTAATTCGAAGATAATTTTTCCCTGTTTACCTTTAATTGTTTTCTAATTGATGCAAATAACTATGTGGATGCTGCTTTATATTAGTCTCCAAAGATTAGAGTCAGTCTATACTGAAGCTAACCTACCACTGTCAAATTGAAATAGTGCTTATACAAAGCCTCATGACAGTATAAATTAGATTTCAATTGGATTTAAAATAAATTGATGCATTTTTCTTTTGCAGACAAATCTTTATTTAATAACACTATACATGGTACACCAGATATGCAAAAACTAACACTGATGAGATGTTTGCATAAATGACCAGTGCTCACTGGTTTTCCTTGTTTGAGAGATCAAGGGTTAATCAAGGAAACAGGAGGAAGAGTGAATCATGCAGGGACTAGAATGTCTTATCAGCTTTGACCTGCTCAGCTGCTGAGACACGGAAGAAACAAGGAAGTGATTTATAGGTTATGGCAGTTCAAGATTCACTCTTCAGTATTTGTTGGAGGACCATGATACTCTTCACCATGCTCATCTCTGTCTTGCAGTGCTCCTCATTTGTGAACTTCCTACTAGTGGGCTGTTTTCCACTAGCATGGCACAAGTTTCCCACTACATATGGAAAAAAAACCCTTACCTGTCTATATCCATACAGGTTTCTGTAAATTATACTGTTGCTATGAACAAATATATTTAACCCTAGCAATTTGCAAGCATACTAATACAAAGCTATTAAAGCAGCATTTATGAGTTGAGAAGGCCTGTCTGCTACTTTTTACAAGTTTGTCTTCCATTCAGCTTCAGTATTTAGCTTAGAAATAGAATAAAACAAAGTAAAGCAGACATGAGTAAGTTACAAGGACTGTGCTTGATATGGAGGTCTGTGTCTCTGGGAAATATATTATGATGGATGGTTATTTTTATAATCTTTTTGTTGTCATTTGAATGTCATAAATATCTGTCAGATTTTCTAAAAAAAAATAAGTCTTTCTTCAGACATTACCCGATATAGAGGATATCATTCAGTTTTCTCACTGAAAGCATGAATAAATTAAATTGATCTGTTTCTGCGAACAATGACCACTGGAAAAGTCTATATACCAGGCATTCTAGCCAGTCACCAACAAATGGCATTTAAACTAAAAAAATAGTGTGAGACATCTAAGTTCTTCTAAAGGTGAATGTGTACCATTTTCCTTAGGTCTCTTAAAACCTTCAGTACAAATAGGAAAAGTTAATTACTATGCTCTCATTATACTATACCTACCATTGCAGTTTTCTTCTAATCCACCTTCCTACTCCTAACAACTCTTTAAAAGGTAAGATTCTAAAAGAAAATATTTGAATATTGATGCTTCTAGCCACTTATTTAAAGACAAGCATTAGAACTATTGAATTATGCCACTTTCAGTAAAACCTGTATCTGCAAGTTTATGTGCTGTGCACTGAAGACAGAGTTTTCCTGGCTATCAAACTGCCAGGCACACAACTGCAGAGGGAACCAGTTTCAGGCAATTGCAGAGACAATCAGAGAATGGGTACATCTGTCCTAGGCACAATACGAAACAGGTTAATTATATTTGCACACATGACATAGACATGAAGACACTGCACAGAAAAATGATAGGCATGTAAGAAAATATACTGGCCTACTACTGTTTAAAACTAAGTCATTGCCCTTACTATCAACATGAGCATTCAGGAGCAGGGCAAGCTCCCCCAGCTCCCAAACTATTGCATAGCACTAAAACAAAACCACTATTACTCTTAGCAATTTCCAGCAGCAATTAAGGAAGGATATTGAGCAGCCTTGAAATTCAAAAGCAGTTGGTAGAGAGCAATATTGTCAGTGCTTACTGGGCAAATAAGCTATCTGAATCTGAGCAAATATGAACCTTTTTTTTGTTTAGTTCTCTTTATCTATGTTTTCTTTAACGATTTTGACATTCTACATAAAGTGATTTCATTAGCAAGGTATTTGCATGATGAAAACGATGTTTTCTTCTCAGGAAAGTGACTCCAAAACTTTATTTACTCTTATGCTTTCCAGAGCTTATCTAAGGCCTATCAACAGCATGAACAGAACAAGTCAAGAGCATTGTCTGTGATTTTTCTCCACACATATATGTCTGTTGATTACAAGCTTGCAGCTGTGAATGGTGCTAATAGGTATCACTTGGCAAATGCTGCTTTCACAGATAAAAAGAGGGTGGTAGGAGAAAGGAATATGGCTAGGGGTAAGGGAGGTGGGTGGGGTGTGCTGAGTTGTGCTTAATGGTATAAGCTGTAACTCTCATATGAGGAGTTGAATTTATGAATATATTTTGTATGTTTCTCTAAACTACTTTGGATTGTTGTTTTTTTTTTTTTCTTTTATTTTTGATTTTATGGTCTGGAATGAGGTGATCTTAAAGACCCTTTCTGGCCTTTGCTAATACAGAGATTCATCAATTCTTAGGTGAATAATTTTCTTTGCTTTTTAAAGAGAAGTTTTGTTGTTTCTTAAAGGTTTGTTGGTTGATTTTTAGTTTGGTTGGCTGTTTGGGGTTTCTTTTTTATTTGCTATAGATTTCATTTTCAGTTTTGGTGCATTTTTTTTCCTGTCAATTTCATTAGTTATTGAGCTCTGTTAAAGAGAATTAAGGTGGCTATATCGACATGTGTGCATGGGCTTTAATATTGGATAAGAAATAAGCTTAGGTGATGGCAAGTGTTCTAGCTGTATCGTTCTGCTTTTAGATTATGCAAGGAGAGAGAAAGAAGGTGAATTGTTCATCATTTCATGGTGTGCAAAGTAATGCTGCTTTTCTATAGCAGCAGTTAAGAGAAAAAATAGGTGCTCCAGATCCTCCATTTAAGCTCTGTTTTAAAAATACCTTTAGTTGAGTGGAGGTAGGGAGAGTGAAGGGATTTGAGAATTATAGATTGCTTTTTGATAAGAACAGTAAAGGGATAAACTGTTACTTATAGAGAACTTCTTGTCCATTATTTGCTTCATCATTTTGTGAGTTTTTATAGTAGATGTGATTTAGGATAAATATGTAAGAAATAATAATACTTTCTATTGTGATGTTGGATGTCTATGTTGAAGATGAAAGTTACTCTTCTGTTTAAAAGATCTTTATTGCTGCTTTTTATGTCCCTTCCCAAAAAAAACCCTACTATCTAAGGTATAACATAAATTCAGTGTGAAATAACAAGCTAATGTTAATATAATGATGCAGGGAAAGAGTGAAATAACGTTAGCATTCACCCAGTAACAGAAACAAGCCATTACAGGAAGGTAGAAAAAAAATAATCATTACATTATAAAGTGTCTGCATGTTGCAACATAGTAAAAGTAACAGCAGCCTTTCCCCGTGATACTTTGTTATCTGGTCTATTCAATTTTCCAAGGGGTCTGGGCCTCAGCTGGCTGGTGTGGGTGTCTGTTTACCCCACAAGTGACGCTCTGAAATTTCCTCTCTATCATTAGCTTTTGTGTAGCATGCTGTTCACTTAACAAGCAGCTTTGAAGACATCTGCAAAAACTGCATTTCTAGAAGCGGGACTGGTCTAGGAAATCACCCTCGTATACACAACCCGTGAAACTTGATATTTAAGCTTTACTGACCTTTAAATGTAATAGTGTCCTTACTGTCATACTGAGCTACTGTGAATTCAGTGAATGAATTCTTACCCCTTTGACAAAAGGATAACTTTATATGCTTATTGACACTTTCTTAATGCAGGTATGAGTTGGTATTCAAGGAGTTTCTCTAAATAAGAGCTGCACTTGCCTAAATTCAGATGTTAGAAGACTATGAATAATTATTTTTGCCCTGAAAGCAACATAGCCTCTTTTGATTTAGGCCATTTAAACCAAAATAAGTTATTCCTATATGAGGTTGAGTATCCATTTGAGACTAATTAAAATTATGAGCTTTTTTTCTTCACATGAAGTCCCTAATAAGAACTTTAACAATACATCACTGCTTTTATTGAATTCCCTATGTGGTGCAATGAAAGTATTCCTGATATTGAGGTAGTTGATATGTTGTTTTACTATTTTGATAGAAAAATTTATCAGACAACTACAAAATGTTGAGTAATTTCATAAACACATTGAATTTTAGTGGTCAAAGAAGCATATAATGAGGTGGTTAGCCAATACAAAATCATGGAGCTTCTGGAGTCCAATCTAAGTCTGTTCAAGTAGTGACAGCACTAAGAACGCTGAGATAAAAAGGAATTTATCAGTAAATGGATATCGTGCCTCTTATAGTGTTATACAGGTATTTTGCTGCACTTCACACCAAGAAACAAACATCAGCTGTATTATAAGATGTAGGAATAAATTTTGTATGCTATGTCTAAGAGAAAAATTTCCAAATGGAATATGAAAAAAGCTTTTTAAAAATGCTATACCATCTGATGACATCGTAACATAATATCCTTTAGTTAAAAGGTGAAGGATGGGGGGTGGAATCCCTGATTATCCTAAGGTGTTTGTGCATGCATGTGCTTAACAAACTTATTTTACAGTTGTCTGTCTCTAATAATATAAAATTATTTTTTTAAATCAATTACAAGGACCCAGACCCCTGTGAGGTACTTCTAGGGGAAAAAGCAACCTAATCCTGGGAACAAAGACCAAACCTGTGTTCAGGCATGTATTGGTTTTGTTGTGTGACATAGGTTATACTTGTTGCCTTGTTTTCAAATAGTGAAGCACATGTGGCAATAACCAGGGGTTTTAGTTACTTTTAGAGACTCCAGCAAATCAACAAACTTTGGTCAAGACTTGGATGAGTGTAAAGTCTGTAAATATAGGCCTTTGGGGTCAGCTGAAGAAACAGTAAACTTTAGTGTAACTGATGTGTACCCCCAGACTCAGTTTATCAGGCATCACAAGTGTGAATCCCTGTATAAATAGAAATACAAGCAAGCTGGCTAAGCATGAATGCCGTCATGCTTCTCCTTCCTGAGTTTGTACCTGAGCCGAGGCAAGGAGAGAAAACGGCTGATAGATCTCCAGAAAGAAATTATTCAGATGTTAAATGCTTCTTGTGTGGCATGCGCTGATTTTTTGGGAGAATTGCTACACGAAGCATGCTTTGAACTTCCTCTAGAACAGGAATACTGAGATGCAACGCCTGCCACTAAGACAGAGTACTGACAGACAGGAGCACTCAAAAAAGCCGAAACAAAACAGAAACGAGTTTTGTTGTGGAAAAGAGTAGACTTTCAGTTGGGGAGGGGACAAGACGCGACAACCCAGCCGGCCGAGCATCTGCAGACGCCCTGATGAGGATGAAGTTCGGGCCCTAGCGCGGCGGAAAGCGCTGCGTGGTTGGGGACGAGGCCCCGCGGCCCCGGGCGGTGCGGGGGCGGCTGAGGGGCTCGGCCGCGGCCCCGGGCGGTGC